TTTGATCCAGTGTCTAGCAATGCTAGCATTTCCATGAAATTTCCATCGGCATCCTTCACTTTTACTTTCTGAATGGGGCAGAGACCGATCCCATGCTTGATCCCTTCAATGTTATGGTTCTGAGAGATAGCTCGTTCCTGTACGGAAAATGGTACTGCACTTGGATCCAAAGGTGGGACACTGTTTCTTTCATTGTGCAAAGACTTGTGGTGATTCTTTTTGCACTTGTCGCAGGAGGTGCCATCTGGCTTCTTACAATCTCTTGTATGGTGCGATGCTCTCAAGCACTTGCGACATCTCTTATTTTGCTGAACAATGTCCCAACGTTGGTTTACCGTTAGCTTCTTGTAAATTGGACAGGCAGCAAGAAGATGTTCTTCTGGGCAATCGAAGGGGCAGGTTGCATCTTCAGGAATTTCAGTAGCTAGGTTACGGGTGTCTAACTTTCTGAAGGGTCACACACGTCGACTTTGTTCTGCACTCTCGTTATCATATTCAAGCTTGCCCCTGGAACGAAGAGCTGCTTCTTCGTACAGCCATTCGACAAGACCGAGTACACTTTCTTCCTTCTTGTTCCTCTTCATTTCTCTCCCGAACTCAGCGTTATCACTTGGGGTGAGCTTGAACAACAGTTGTGACATGAAGAATGGTGCCTCTGAAGAAGATGTAACCATGCAATCGTTGGCTTCCATGTCATTCACATAGCTCGATATTGTGGTAGCATACCGAATTAATGACTTGGAGTCCCTTTTGACCTGGTCGTGCTTGGAAATTCCTGCCAAGAGTTCATCCATTAGCTTTCGTTTGTCTGAAAATTCAATATCTAAGATTTTCCAAGCTTGGTCGATGGTTCTGCAGGTCTTTACTTGATCTGTCCACCACAAATGGCTTGGCAACGCCTTCCTGAAACGTTGCAATTGTTCATCTTCATCTTGTGCATACTTTTTCATCCAGTGATTAAACTCCTTCCTCCAGGTAGGGTACATTCTACGGCTGCCATCCCATGATGGGACTGGCAAACGTTCAAGTCCACTCTTACTAGGTTTTGATCCCGTGGACATGGTCTCCGTCATTTTTAGAACTGCGGATGTCATTGCCTTTAAGGTTTCTGTCTCTTCTTGAGGTTTCTTGGAGCTTACTTCTTTTTGGTAGGCAGCAAACTTTTTAGATATCTTCAAATATTCTTCCTTTACAGCGTCACCTACTCTTTTGTGAGCTTCCTTCAACGTTTCTTCTACACCCCCCTCTACATATTTGTCTGCGATGAATTCTTGCTGCTCCTTGATACTTCTGTATTTGGTTTCGAGTATTGTAAATATTTGTTCTAGCCTTTTAATTGTGGCTGAATTTCAAACACCGTCTCAAACTCTTCAAACAATTCTTTTAAAGCATGTATAGCATTGTCTCGCTTCCCTAAGAGCGTTTTGAAGTTTATTTTAGGTGGCATCCTGAGCGATGGTTATTTATTTATTTATTTTTTTTTTATGATAGTCTATATCCGGTTTAGCAGTGTCGTGTCCGTATAAAAATGTTCTTTAGCAATGGCGCCCCGAACGCCCGCGTTTTTGCTCAAACTAACGTTAATTCGACGAACAAAATGCTCAGTAATAATAGAAGCTTTGATTTACCTTTCAGTGATATTTGTGATGAACGAATTATCTTCAAGGACGGTCTGTCGCTCGTTTTGGCTATCGGTTGTCCTTGAAACAATCGTTGAATGACTCGTATTATTATAAACTTTAAATATAAATAATCTCTTCCTCAGTCGAATGGCTTGTGATTCCTTCGGTCTGTAGAATTTTGACTGTTTCGCATCTACGCCAACCGGGGAGACGCTACTTTGTTTGAAGCAAATCACATTGAAATACCCAAATCTGTTTTCTCTTTCTGCACTAATACTTTATTTTGTAAATAGTCAACTATATAAATCAAGCAAAATTACAGCTATTACAACAACTCAGATATACTGACAATTGAAGGTTGCAGCAAGACTGACTTACAATTCGTGAGGCATAATCTGAGTATCCTTGCCTTTTCCTAAGTTATTATTTTTAAGTTTTTTGTTCACTGTATTTAACATAACAAGCTCGCTTTTTTAGTTTCTTTCTTTCCAATTCCGCGAAGCTTCCTCGCCGTTTCACTTCCTCCGTCCCACTCCCCTCTCAACACCGGCGATCGCAATATCTTAACAGTCAGAGTTTCAAGTGTTTCACAAAGTAGAACAATAGACAGATTAAGATCGAGGACGCGGACGTCAAAGACGACGTGAAAATGGCGTAAAAATGGCGTGGCACATCCATATACCGACTAATATCATATACATGGGCACAACACGCCATTTTCACGTCGTCTTTGACGTCCGCGTCCTCAATCTAAATCTGTCTAATAACAAAGGCGAGGCAACGCCACTGCATTTTACTAATTATATTTAAAGACCATGTCAAGTCCGTTTTGCGCATCAGTTCTGCTCATAACAAAGGGGGACCCACAGATATAAACATTGCCCAAATTTTGCATTTTTCGAACTTTTTCAATTTAAACGGACTCTAGTTTAATCATTTACAATAGCGAACCAGAAAAGTGTTAGATATTCAGTTAGTACGTCTTATTTCACAAATATAGCAGTTCAAAATGTAAACAAAGGATTTGTTTACATTACGGACTTGACATGGTCTTCAAATGAGTTACATACTGTTTTGCATTCCTAAGCAAGGCAATATTTCCAGAAATAATTTTGTTGTTACTTCCATAAATAGTTTGAACGGGGATTTACGTTGCAGATCAGTGTTCAGCGGTCTTACCTTTAATCTTTGCCTCACACCGCTTTCCAGTAAAGCCGTTGGCGCATGTACACGTGATGTCGTCACCTTTCTCGTGGCAAGTCCCGTTGTTAACACATGGTTGAATGGCGCATAACGAGCCTAGAGAATAAGAATAATACTATATTATTCTTCTCCCGATAACATCCGGTAACATAATGGCTTGGCCTTGGCATTCCCCGGTTAGGGTCAAGGAGGTTATTGTGGGAAACGACAAAACGCGGACCCCAGGTCCATGGACTACCTTCGTGGACCTGGTCCATGGACTACACTCGTGGACCACGGACCACTCCCGTGGACCACTCTCGTGGACCACTTGCAAAATTTCGCCTACCGAACAATAGACCAAGCACTATTATTCCGAGTTTAGGGAGCCGAGATTGGCGGGAACTATTTCATTATTCATTTCCATTATTTATTTCACAATCATTCAGTTTTTGTTGATGAACAGTGAATACTAAGTCTGTAAAAATGCTGAAAAAATGTAGTCAGGGTTCCATTAAAAAATATAGGAATACTGTGGAGAATCTGGAGGGGAGGGGAGGAGGGGTCAAAGGATTTTACTGAATTATTCGAATTTTACTGTTAAAAAATCACTTGAACTGTAGAAGTCGTAAGTTGCAATGACCTTTCAATGCCTGAAGGTCCTCTCCCAAAAATATTAATTTTTGAAGCTCGATTACTGCTTTTCTTGCATTTCCTGTAGCGATCGAGAAAAAAAAACTACCAATTTTAAGGGCATATATTCGGAAACTTTGCATTAAAGTCGTAATTGCACACTTATATTTTAGAACGGTCATGTAGTGAATGGATTTAGAACTTCACATTTTGTGTAAAGTTTCCACAATGATAATAATGACTGAACTCGACTCGAGCACATTTTTGCATGCACAGTCAAGAATTAAAACCCCAAAAATCTGGTGTCTCGCAAGTGGTCCATGAGAGTGGTCCACGAAGGTAGTCCACGGACCAGGTCCACGAAGGTAGTCCACGGACCTGGGGTCCGCGTTTTGTCGTTTCCCGGTTATTGTCCGGATGAGAAGTAGGGTTAGGTACTCACAAACAAGCCAACAAGAGCGTGAAAAGCAATTTTGTAGGGCAGATATTCAATAATTTGTTGGGCAAAAATACATTCAAATCATGTTGAGTAAGAACAAGAAAACCTAAAAGTTCCCAGAGTTCATGTCTAGCTCATGCCGATGTAGAACTAATGTAAAGCAGTTCACCATCCTATTCGGCAAGGTCCCAAATTGAGGAATTCTCTTCCAGAGTTTGTCAGAAGTGCACTGACGATAAATTGCTTCAGGAATAGAATTTTGGAATACTTGCTAGATGCCTAATTGCGTTTTACCAGACCACATTTTAACTGATCCTTTTTATGATCTATATTATTTTCTGCTGTCACTGCTCTAAGAAGACATCCTATTTACAAGCCTATCGTTTCCGGATGCCTCCTTGCCACCGATATCTACTTTATGGTGCATATTGACTATTTAAAACTAATTATGTTATCATTATGAAACAACTTGTATATAACTGATATCTGTGGAAAAAATTAAATTATCCTTATCCTCAGGACGAGGATGGTGTCTTTTACGCTACCTCTGAGGACTCTTATAAACTTTTTTAGTTTCCCAGCATCTCTACGTTCTTTTCTGACCACACCCCTTTTGTCGTGCGTAGCGACTCCACACACCCTCCCCCCTAATGTTTAAACCCAAGTTATGCCCTTGCTCACAAATGAAAGGTATACGCCCGTATGGTATCCATCATAGATTTATGACCACATAATGTATGTCATCATACGTAAGAAGAGATTGGGTTGACACGCGGCTGTCTAATCAGTATCCAGTGGTCTTACCTATGATCTTCGCCTCACACCGCTTGCCAGTAAAACCGCTGGCACAGGTACACGTGATGTCATCATTGTGCTCACGGCAAGTTCCATTGTTAACACAAGGTTCAATGGAGCATAACGAAGCTGGAGAAAGGAACAAACATAATTATTTATTTAATGACCATTACACATTATGCGTTTTCGAAATATCAAAAACGAAGCGATTCGAAAACGGATTAATGTGCAAGTAGTTTTAAAGTGCTCCTAACCCCAATAAATTTCGGCAGTCCTCCGAATTTTATGACAGTTTAAAGTTGGTAGAATGGCAAGTTTTTGATGGACCACTTCCGTACTTTTCATGACGTCAGAAAACGGGCTATAGACCATTGAACTGAATGGAACTGGAACGCTACCTCCAAACGGAAATTTGAAGCCAAATTTGAAGGCCAGTCCCAGTCTTTTCACGCATGCGAAGAGCGCTCAATCTGTCAATCATGACATAAACACGCGTGGTCTGACCATTTGGCTTCAAGAAAAAGATAAGCAGTTTATCTGAAGGTAGCGTTTCAGTTCTATTCATTTCAATTTTTATGCGCATTTGATCATATACTATAACATGTTAATTTGCGCAATATAAATATTAAATATTATTATTATTATTGTTATTAATAATCGGCTATACCCAGCCTCTTTGTGGTTACAGAATACGACGGCGCCGATTTGCCTAAATTGAAAACTTTCTTCACAGATATACTAACCACGAACAGGTGGGCAATTTGTCTGAGCATGCACGCAGAAAACCAATATGGCGACATATATTAGGAGTGTTTCGTGAATTTATCTGGTTTTAAAGCTGATAAAACAACATTTTAATGAACGAAAACTTTGTAATATTTAGTGGAAAACATTAAGCTGTGCATTCCAAAAGTTTTAAATTAATAACAAGTACTTTTGCTTTATTTTATTGCTTTTTATGCTTTGAAAACAGGCAAGCTAATATTTTACCCAACATTTGTTTAATCTGTACAGAAATAGATAGAACACTTGGCTATATAAGTTTTAAAGGTATTATTAGCTGATCTGAAAGATTTCAGTATTCCTGGTACACATGTTAACAAAGAATGAAATGTAATTACGAAAACAAGTTTGGAAACAAGATCTAGTCCTCCAGCTTGATGTCTTCCATTCATTTGGATATTTGAATAAAGGAATGTGAAATAATAATTGAAATTTGATACGGCAACACTCAAGTGAACCTATCCCCTAAATACGGTGTTTCATATTTGTGTTTTTGAATTTGGGTTCGTGTTTTCAAATTGGTGTTTGCGTTTTCATATTTGCGTTCGTGTTTTCATATCCTATTATTATATTATTTTATTAGAATCTAGTTCTCCGTGAAATTGCTTTTTTAAGACTCGTGAAACGGCTTTTTTTCGTTGTGAAACGTGACCCATACCCCCCCCCCCCTTCCCACCCTCTATGTATACTCGTTTCGTGTAAATGGGGCATAAAGGATTTTACAGGTATCATATGACCAGCAACCTTTCCAAGGTGTTCGAAGCCGTGGGCTTACATGGAAGTGGGATGACCCTATCCGGAGGGTTACCCTAGCAAGCGGGTCACCCTAGTCTAATGTGTTCTATAGGTTGCGTTTACATGTGCGCTAGGGTTACCCTAGGGGTAGGGTTATCCTACAAAAAGATAGGGTGACCCTAGCACAGGGCTATCTTTTTGTTTACATAAGCAATGTAAACGCGTCAGGCAGGGTTACACTAGCAAGCGGGTCACTGACTCGTTCCCAGTCGCTCGCGTTGGATCATGGGATCAACGTACTAAATTATATAACGAGGGACTGTGGAAGAGTCAGAGCGGGTCATGTTTTATACGTCCTACTCCTTCTTGTTCTAACTCATATTTTCAGGTTACTTAACGGATACCTTTTGATACTGTGTTTTATGCACCTTATTTTTAAAAACTAAGTGCACCTTTATCCCACATCCACACCCTAGTGAATTGACTGGTTTCAATAAGCATCAGTATGGCGTTGGAATAGACTCGAGACATATAGGCTTGCTGAAAAACTAATTTCTGAGGGCCTGTTCATATGAGGGCCAAGCTCACCCATTTCTGTGTCAGTCATATCACATACGACTGCTTTTATCACACCTATAATATCCCATCTGCGTGAGACCACATTATGTAAACATGCGTCTTCGAAATATTGTTGTTGTAATTAAACAAACTGCACCTTGTTTACGACTTTAACTGATAATAGCGTCTGTTTAGGTTTTGAACGCATAGCGCTACAGAGTTTGCACAGCTAGGCAAATATTTAAAATTAACCTGCGTGGCCCATCAATCGTTTGTCGGATTTCTCGGATAGGAAAGAGTTTTAGAAATGCTTTGTCCTTTATTTTAGTAATCTTCTTATAACGTAATGCGAGCATTTCAATGTATACTTCGGCTTAACAGGAAGGTATTAGCTCACTTAGTAGCTAGCATAATAGCCTTTAAACAAGTGTACTTGTCATTGTACAGCCGAGTAAATAAAACTTGTCCGGCGGTCTGTCCATTGTAGGACTTTACTAAAACAATTACACTACCCTAACTCCTAAGAAAATTAATATTATTTCTGCGACGGAACTTCATACCGAAAAGTATTAGAGGTGTTAAGATACCCCGATTCCGGTTTACGGGTACGGGTGATATACACGTATCCGTACCCGTAAATCGTGGAATAACTTGTAACTTAAGAAATCCAAGATATTCCAGCATGAGAAAACTGATCAGAGAATGGCAACTTTCGCTGTTGAGGTTCGCCATAAATTGTTGAAAACTTCGACCAGCATATGTGCATTATTTATTTGGGTAAGATATTGAACATTTGTACTATTTAAACGGCCCAAAAATAGTAAACAGAAAACACCCGTACCCGTTTGTCTTTTACGTGTAGATCATGGTTTACCACGGGGAAACGGGTAGAAATTACGGGTAAAATTGCTGACATCAGCAAAAATTGGTAAACAAAATGGCGATACTCGTACCCGTAAACCGGGGTATCTTAACCTCTCTAATGCTAAATTGTTAACATGTATATAAACAATTTGACAATTTGTATACCTTCAGCAGATTCCGTGATTGTTGCGAAATACTTCAGTAACAATTAAGAATGGCTGAATTAAGAATTAAGATTTAAGAATGGTATAAGAATTAAGAATGCACGCCCCCGATGCATGGCGCTGGTCATCACAAGAAAAATGTTTTGAATAGTCGAATTCACAGCCGTCACAGATGAGTTTCATTCCTAGTTCATCTAACTTTTAATTCCAAACTACGGGAAATTTAAACGAGAATCACGTCTTAGGCTGGGATTACACTATACCGGATTGATTTTCATACCGGATCAATTTTCACACCGAAGCCAAAATCAAGGGTGTTTATGCCGCTTCGCTCTGTCGCCAGCTCGTATCTTTTATCGTTGCCACGGAAACAAATAATAAGTTTTGACCATTTTGGACGTTTTCTCGACAGTACTTGTGAATTATAACTTTGTTTACAAAGCTTGACCACCCGACGTTGCTTTGTCTCGCTCTTATCGAAAATTGACGAGTATTTCATAAAATTTTGCCCTTTTGAAAGCAAGAAGTCAATGTTATTACCGCTATCTTTATTTGTCTTCGCTAGAAATAATAAATAATTGTAAAGCGAAGCAAACAACAGCTATAAAATATTTAAAAGCGAGTAAATAAAACGACAATGTTAAAATATACTTGCCGAAACCTATTTATAGTATCGGAGCGTACCGGATTGCCTGATTACACTTGGTTTTATCCGGTACAGCACGTACCGGATTACTTTTCATATCACCTCCAAAGCGAAGTGATTTTCGCGCCGCGGCACGTACCGGTGTCCCAGGATTTTCGCCCCCCCCCTACATTTTCGCCCCCCGGGGGGCGAAATTCCTAGGAATATCGCCCCCCCCAGGGGGGCGAAAATCCTAGGAATTTCGCCCCCTTTAGGAAATTCGCCCCCCTTTAGAAACTTCACCTTTTCTTTAGGATTTTCGTCCTCCGTTCAAAATTTCGCCCTTCCTAACAGTTGCATGGAATAATTATTACATGGCTTTAATCATTTGAAATCAGTATCAATTCAAAATTGTTAAGACAGAGCTTGAAATAACAACCGATCACCGATCAATGATCGGCAAGGAATTGCTTATGATCGGCGGAAAAGCAGGGTTTCGGTTTCCAACCTGAAAAAAGCAGGGAAAGTTGCGACTGCCGATCACCATGATCGGGAACTTTGGGAACGTTATTTCAAGTCCTGCATGTAAGAATACAAATTTACAATTACATGTATCGAAAGGGCTTTACACAGTTACAGTAGATGAATACTCAACAGGACTTATGACGCTTCACAGCACACCATGCATATTTTGCATTTTCAGTGTTAATCCTTAAACTCATTGTTAAAAAGTAATCACCGTGGTGGTTATTGTAATTATTGGTATTGTTTTGCATCCACGTTTTGTCGTTATCGGAAAATGTATGGTTTGTACTACAGTGGCGTGGTGTAAACAAGAGGCCAATCCGGTACAGAAATCGCGTCGCTTCGATGCAATCCGGTATAGTGTAATCGGGGCCTTAATAAATGTATATCAGATCGCGAATCAATTAAGATGCGTTTTAGCTGGTAACGTCGAAAATAAACTGGCATTAAAGTCGAATTATAAGCAATATATAGGCGAATTTGTTCGCCGCGCGAAGCGACGGTGTCCTTTGTCGGCGTCACTTTTGCTGACATGGAAAACGGGCGTTTCGGGGATTTTTCAGATTTATTCGTCTGACGACATTCGTCCCCTATTCTTATCGGATGGAAATCGGTCACGTCCGTCAATTCCAATGGCACATGCAAGAGAGAACATGCTTCAAATTTGAGTCACACGCTTTTTCCGTTTTTCGTACGTCAACACACACCAGGGTTTCCATTAAAAAATTAACGTTTCGATTGCGAAATTGATTGACTGACATCTACTGTAAATTGATCATCGTTTTTGTAAATACGCACGTACTACTCCGTAGTATACGTAGTATAGCGTGCATATAATACATTTTTATATGACAAACAGGGGATGAAGTTCAGAATTCATAATGATTTACATGCGTTTTTTAATGTCACTTTGATAATATTGTCAAACGTGCAGCGCAGTAGCGTAGTAGCGTAAGTATAAACTTTAATAATATTGTCAAACATACAGGATTAAAGCGTAGTAGCGTAATTTTTTTTTTCAGGGCGATTATAGTTTTTTTTTATTATTAACTTTTTGCCCACAAAATATATACAAGTAGTAAAAAAATTATTACAGTAGTATAATGGGCTAGGGACCTTTGGAAATCCTGTTGGACTTTTATCGTAAGGCCCCTAGTTTTAGTATTCTAGTGATAAAAGACTATGAAAGAAGTAATTCTATACAAGCAGAAACTATTTACAACAAATTGAAAGATGAAAAAATACTAAGAAATACTGAAATAGTACATTACTATAATTAGTGTTCCTAAGGCTATTGCTAAAGTTTTTATAATTTATTTACATTAATTAGATAATAAGTAAAGGGATTTTGCTTTTCTCTTAAAAGAAAAATAAGTTAAATATCGTAGTATAAACTTTGATATTATTGTCAAACACACAGTGTAGTAGCATAATATCGTAGTATAAACTCGTTGATAATATTGTCACAAATACAGCGTAGTATCGTAGGCCCCTAGGCTAGTATAAACTTTGATAATATTGACAAACATACAGCGTAGTATCGTAGGCCCCTAGTATAAACTTTGCCGATAATATTGTCAAACATACAGCGTACTAGTAGCGTAGTATCGTAGTATAAACTCGTTGATAATATTGTCAAACATACAGGACATACAGCGTAGTAGCGTAATATAAACTTTGATAATATCACAATTTACAAGTTTGAGTGACGAGTACGTATGTCCAACGACCTCCGAAAGGCCTCCGAATTTTTTACTCTTGTGCAATCGAGTGAGATCGATCATATAAATTGATTATCGCGCATCATGTCTATATTGACTATTATGAAATAGATCGAAATAAACAAAGCAAAATTACAGTTCACGAAATAGACACTTTACGTTCACGGAGAATTTTTATCGACAATCACGCCTCACGGCTGTAGAACGAATCACATTTCACGACACTAAAATCAAGCATTTAACATTTCACGCGAACATATATTGGCCATTCACGGCTCACGAAAATACCCTTTCCCACCCTCTACATACGATCGCAATTTTCCTGTTCACTATTCCTGTTCACCAGTTTATAGCAAAATGTGTATACTTACGTAAAGTACTTGGCTGAAAAAAACCCAGAAGTACCAGACAATAATACTGGCGTACCTCCGGTATGTAAATACGAGAATTATCTTAAGCAGTTTACTGAAACGTGTTTTACTAGGTGTTAAATATGGTGGACAACTCCCCCAAGGAATGACAGTTATAGGTGTGACTAAACAGTGGCAAATACCTATAATGGAAGCATTTAGCGTCTTTTGTTAGCTCCCACTAATGTCAATACATTCGAAGTTGGTATAGGACCATAGGAAACGCTTACTGCCTCAATGTGGATATCCACCCAGAGTAACATCACAAGCATAATAAAACAATGTATTTATAATAAAAGACACTTACCTAAGCGCCCACTACTGGACGAAGAACTGCTGGAGTCGTCATCGCTTGAGGATTCTTTCGCGAACAACGCTATGAAAACGATGCACAGTATCAACAATATCCCAGCAACAACTAGTAAAATCTTTTCCTTTTGAGTAAGAATTGCAAATTTTGATCTTTCAGAAGATACAGTTAGTATATTTTCTTGTGAACTGTGTTGAGACGGTTTCATATTTTCCATCGGGTGGGCTTCATCCACTTCCGCGCCCTTGTTGAAATGAGCCATGATAAAGTTTTAGAATCCCGTTGCTCCAAATGATTAGCTACCCTGTTGCACCGCTGTTTATTAAAATGAGATCCTTGTCTCCTGGTGGGCCAGCCAAAGAGAGTTCAACTCGCTGGAGCGTCTCCTGTATAATCCTTTCAGAGCTGAAACTTAATCCGACAGGAAAGATCGTTAAAATTAAACTTGGATCGAAAAAGACTGGATCGTACAAGTTTGGATCTGGACGCCAAAAATCCTGGAAATAGGCCGTTTGCTGTGACCTCGAAAAGTGCCTAGAAAACGATTTTCATTAAGCATGTCTTGGAACTGAAATATTTTTATGGGAACTAACACTTTCGAACACGCTGATTTCAAATCCGAAAACTTTCCGCACCGTAGACCCGCAGTTCTCTCAACTGCTATTTTATCTTCGCTAATTTCACAACAAAATTTTTTCATTGTTCAACGACACGGATGGATGAATACACACGATTGCATAACTCAAAATGACCAATTCCTATGAACCAGTCTCTACATTGAACAAAAGATCGGTTTTGCTCGAATTATTTTGAGTTATGTAATTTTAAGCGTGTTGGACGTAAACAACATATCTTGTCTACAACTTTGGGATGGTACCGATATCGCTTTGTAAAATCCTCAGTTCTGGCTGTATCTCGATAAAATCACAAGGACGTCAATGTTAAGTCGTTGGGCTATATTTCTGGGATGAGAAATAATTCCTTACATGCGATCAAAATGTTTTATACAGCGATGTAAAACGGTAGTCTTTTGAAATGTGTCAGCATCTTTCATCTCCAACACAGTTTCTGAGATGTAATTCAAGAGGTAACTTATCATTGCATTTGAATTATTATATCAGTTGGTGTTATTCTGTACGATAAGCGAATATTATTGGAAAGAGGACTGCCATATACGTTGAAATCACCAAATAAACAGCTTATGCACACAGTTTCTCCACTTCGTCGTAGGTTTACACAGCAGATGACCTTGGCACTGGTCTTTGTCTTTGATATGAAAATTTATTCCCCTAGTTTAAGGTTATTTAAGATTCATCCTGTCGTATACGTAAGTCTTCCACTAGCAACCAATCGACAATATTTCACTTTAACGTTGTCTTTGCCGTTACGTTGGCTTCGCATTACTTTTGTTTTAAATACCTTGATCGCGTTAAATTAGTTATTTTTCAGGCCAGTGATATAGCCAAAAGACTTAGCATTAACGTTGTTCAGAAGGCGCTAGAATAGTGCGAGAGATTCGCGTGGCCGTCGTCACGCGCGGAACTGTCCTCGTGAAAAACCGGTTTGACCGGGTTCTGGGGAATTTAGTTTGTTGTTGTTTTATCGAGGATTTTGATCGGGCGATTATTTCGAAAAGAACAGTTAATATTATATTTTCTTACTATTTTTTTGTAAACCATTATTTTAAATACATTTTATTGAAAACTTAACGAGTTCTACCAATATCGTGGCTACATTTATGGCGATCCTGCCAGGACATATGGCAAATTCGAAGGGAAATTTATCGATCGAAAAACGTGATTGAGTCGTGCGTGGTTTTGTGGACTTATGTTAAATCGTTTAACAGTTATAGTATCGGACTCTGACAGGTTTTCCATTTGGAATTATTGGTAATTTAGCTGGAGTTAATTCGAACGTTGTATTTTGCCTATTTTATCGTCGTAAAAATCGGGAAAAATGAGTGACAATGAGGAAATTCAAGGACAGGAAAAGACGGTCGAGACAAGTGGAAGTTCAGCCAGTGCAAAGGATGATAAGCATGAAAGTTATGAAAGAATTCTCGAACTGAAACGTAACAAGAGGTCAAAAAAAACAGCAGTGACTAAAGTCCGACACAGTTTGGAAAGATTATGTGCAAAAAAAGGTGAGCTTGACATTCAATCAATAGAAGGGCAAATTGAAGGTTTATGGGAGTTGCTAGAGCAAAGCATGAGTGTTATGGATGAGCTCAGTCATGCTTATATGCAAATTGGTAAACATGACAGTAATGCAACAACGAACACAGAAGCAGAAAATTTTGAATCTGAAACATTACAAGCAATTGAAAGGGCGGAGGGTGCAATTAACGAATTTTTGCAAGTAAAATCAAAACAATCAAGTGAACCAGTCAGTATTGTAAACACTCAACACACACCAACAAGTCAACAGAATCTGTTAGCAGCAGAAAATAATACGGGAAATAACGTTGGGGTATCAAAACATAAGCTTGACCCACTTAAAGTGCCTGTGTTCGAGCGTGATAAAACACGTTTCGAGGACTTCTGGGGACTATTCAGTAGTTTAGTGGATAGCGGGAACGAGCCAGCCAATATAAAAATGGCCAGATTGCGTCAGAGTTTAAAAGGAACTGCGCTTGAAGCGATCCGAGGGTTGGGGGTTTCTTTGCCTGAATACGAGGAGGCTAAGGAAATTCTGACGACAAAATTTGGGGGGCGAAGGCGACAATTGCAGGCTTATATGGATCAGCTAGAGGCAATGCCTTCCCTGAAGGGTAGTGATGTGCAGGGCTTTGAGAGATTTGCAGATCTTGTCCGGATAACCGTTGTTAAGTTGCAGGCAGAGGGTCGGGATGGAGAGTTGGGGGAAGGAACGTTGCATGGCTTGTTGGTCAAAAAGCTTGCAGAAAGACAG